ACTTGAGTTCATAGTGCTAGTTAAGTACAAGACTCAGGTTCATCTATGATTGCAAAGTCAATTTCTTAGAAGCTGTGCAATACACCCTTCTGCCGACATCTAGTTTTTCCAACTCTTTACTGTACTGAATTTCTCACTAGACCATGAACCATACAACTGAGTCTTATCTCTGGACACCTGAAGACTAAGACAATGCCTGACACATAGTAGACACCATAGATACCTTGAAAGGAAGAAAGAGAACAGTATGGAGTGGGGGAAAGAGAGGGAGGAGGGCCATCTCTTTTTAACAGTCGATGTTATTTTAGTATTCCTGTAGTAAACATAAATCTTTCTATATATTTAATGTGAGATCATCTTGATACCCACATCATTTACTACCTGTATTTTCAGTTTTATATGGTGTCAGAGCTTCCTTCTGTGTCATTAAACATCATCCTAAAATTATTTCAACATTTAAAATATGTATTACATATTTCTCTTCTTACTAGGAAAAAGTGCTTACTGGGAAATATAGCGGAGTGTATAACCTTGAGATTCTCTCATGGGCTGTACAGCTTTATAGAACTCAATTTAAAACTTAATTTTCATACAAAAATTAGACAGTGTAAATGTAGGCACAGGTAGAGTTATAAGGACAAAGATCAGAAATGTTATTGCCAAATTTAATTTGATCTCTTCCCAGGGCCATAGCATTTAGTAAAATGAAGCTAAAGACTCCAAAACAGCACAAAAGGAAAGTCCCAGGCACTTAATAAATCGTATCAGCATTTCCAGATTTTTCTGTTCTAAAAGAACAGAGCAGATTACCATAAAGAAACTGCCCATGCAGTCATGCATATGCATGACTGTTGTTTGCTACATGTTGATCACTGATTGGATTTGGGGAGTTAACCTCTTTTAACCTAGATTGCAACAACTCAAAAATTTCCAACAGGGCTTAGTGAGGAGTTAAGAATGCAATTTGTAGACACAGAGCATAAGAGTGAGCTGCTTTAAAAGAGCTCAGTCAGAATCTTATGAGACCTTTCTAGATCTGGGCACCTAGTTCCTGCAGCTCTGAACCAGCCTAAAGCTTTACTGCCAGTGGTGCAGATGAGACTTTGCGTGGAATCTTCTGGAGAGACAGAGAGATACACAGCACCACTGAGAGCAAAGATGTCTTATTCTGACCACCTGCAGATCCTACCCATCCCTTTCTCCTCTGGAGGCAGACTTGGCTTTTCCCACCTTGTCTGGAATTTTATCTGAAGCTGTGTGCTTCCTAAATTAAAGTTATTTATTTAACTCACAGCTTTGGCCACTGAAAGGCTAAAATCAAGCAGGCAGTCTGATCTGTTTGGCCTCTGGTGAGGGTCCCCTACTGCATTACAAGATGGTAGAGGAGTGGACAGGCAAAGGAGAGGCCAAGAGTTTACTTTTGCTTGGTAACTCACTGTGTGAGATCAGCATTCCTATCTTCTGAGGGAGAGACGAGGGAAGACTGTGTCTCTGCTTGATGGCACAGCCAGTGCAGAAACATGTGGTTAGTCCAGTCTATGGATTCAGGGTCACAGACAGCCAGGAATCTATTTACATAATCTCACTAACCTTCATATTACCTCTAAAATAGGGATAAAATACACTTTTTAGAATAGCTGTGAGAGTTAAACGAGAAAATATGGATAAAGTGATTAATAAGCATTAGTTACATACAAAGATCTTATTCACGTTCAGCACACATGTGTCAAGGCACTGTGGTCCCAGTGACAAGACAAATAGACACTCTTCCTTTCTACAAGGAGATTGTACTCCAGTAAACTCAGCAAAACTGGAAAGGTTTTTCTATTGTTATGTGGCTTATCAGCTATCTACAATTATGTAAAAAATTGTCCTCAAACATAAAGGCTTAAGATAATCAACTTTTGTTATTTTAGTTTCCAAGAGCTAGGATGCTAACAGTGGCTAGCTAGATGGTGCTGGCTCAAGGCCCTCAAGGTGAGGGCTGGAGCTTCAGTCGCCTGCAGGTTTACCTGAGGCAGAAGGACCTACTTCCAATATGGCACCCACAGAGCTGCTGGGGGAAGGAAGCCTCCCTTCTTCATCGTGAGGGATTCTCAATGCAGTGCTGTCCGAGTCTGCTCACAGTAAGGAGCGGGCTTCTCCCTTCCCATAGTCCATACATTAGAAATGAGACAAGGAGTCCAGGCCACACTAAAAGGAATGAAAATTTGGCTCCATCTTTTAGAGCAAGGGTCCCAAAGTAGGCCACACTGCAGGAAGAGAGTGGCAGGTGAGCAGAGCGTCATCTGTATTTACAGATGGTCCCCATTATTCACATTACCACCTGGGCCCCACCTCCTGCTAGATCAACAGTAGCGTTAGATTCTCATAGGAGCTCAAATCCCACTGTGAACTGCATGTGTGAGCATCTATACTGGGGGCTCTTTATGAAAATCTGAATAGAAAGAAAGTGTACAATAAGTGTAAGGTGCTTGAATCATTGTGGCTTTCCAACCATCTTTTTTGTGTAACACTGTCTTTCATAAACCAGTGCCTGGTGCCAAAAAGGTTGGGAACCACTGTTTTAAAAGGTGGAATTTGGAAGAGCTTAAGAAAACATTTAAAACAATCACATGAAATATGGGGGAAAGGTGAGAGGAGGTGGTTGAGGCCAGACGGAAGAGTCACGCAGAGCTTCCTACGGAGGGAGAGTTTTGAAAGGGAAGCCTCAGGAATTAGCTTGCTATTTTTTTGCTGGGAAGGGTAAGACTATCAAATCTGTGAATGAAACACAGTATTCATAGGCTTTCTTTTCTCTGACACAAAATACCTGACTCCCTCAGTTTAAAGGTAGAGAGCAATATTTTGGCTCAAGTTTAAGTGGGTCTAGTCCATCATCAAATGATATGGTGGCAAACTACAGTGAAGGAAACCTGCTCACTCTTTAGCGGGTCAGAAGGCAGAGTGAGCTGCAAAGAGCCAAGAAAAGAGTACACTATCTCAGGTCACATCCCCAGTGACCTGCCCCTTCCAAACAGCCCCATGGATCCACCCACTAATAAGTATAGTATCCCCATGATCCAATCGCCTTCCAAATGTCATATGCTGAATGTAAGACTTTTGGGAGACCTTTCAGACCTAAACAGTAACAAACATATCAAGGCCATAAAGATGGCCTTATCTGAATTCTCCCTGCCATAAATGATCCAATGCATGTAAAACTCATTTTTCTAGAATGTTCCTAGCTTTTTTCTCATTTCTGTTTCTCTTAAGATCATTAGTTAGAGCCTTAAATTTCTGAAATGCAGAGCATGGAACTTCATTTAAAAAAAAAACATACAAATAATCTATTTCAAGTTCAAAACGCTGAAACAGAAAGCCACTACACTACGTTCAGTCACCGGAAGTAAGCACGGTGTTTCTGATTTTCTTGGAACTGGTTGAAAAGTTAAGACACTTAGGTCCTCTAGGCCACAGTTCTGTCTTGAAGCAGTTGAACATACATTAATTTAAATTTAGAAAATAAAACTTCCCTTTGATTTGCCTGATTTTATTTATTCACTCCTTCTATCAGGACATATATCTCTAAAAGTGTCTAAGAGCCTTGAACTGAGAGAGAAATTTCTCATACATCATGCAAAACACCTGTGAGACCTTACACTTCAGGGTGTGGGTAGTTAGGCATGGCTGTGTTTGTTTTACATGTATGTTTAGTTGGTTTTTAGATAAAGCCAGAAAACCAAGCTCATATATTTCTCCTTTAATTGTGTTTTGCTGAGAACTGGTGCAAGCTTTTGGAGAAAGCACGTTAGAAGCCAAGGTGGATCCTTTGTAGATGTTTTCACAGCATTTTTACTGGGTATTATTTAGCTGGTTGTTAATTGTCTGTGATTGGCTCAATATCCTCAAGAAGTGAAAGCATCCTTCTTTGTCCCTTCCTATAAGGTGGGTGTTTAACTTCTTCATTTTCCATGGGTAAAGAGGACAGTCTGTATATAATTTAATAGTTCAGGATTTTTCTGCTCAAAACTTTTCTATGGGTTTCCATTCCTCCCAAGGGAAAGGCAACATTTCTCACTTTGGCCCACAAAGTTCTCTATGGTCTCTATGGATCTTTCTCCATTTGCATTTTCCAGGACTCTTCCTTCACTTTCTCTGCTTTGGTCACATTGGCTTCTCTTGTCCTTGATAATTTTCTTGATTCCTTTACAACAGGACTTTTGCACATGCTATTTATCTTGTTTGCTTGGCCCATAATGAGTTTTCCTCCCATCTTCCAAATTGCAGCTGGTGAGCCTGCAAGGGCAGCTTTCCTAATCTTCCTGAGTCAGATTTCATTAAGGGCTCTTCTTTTCCCTTGTCTGTTGCTGTTCTAACTCACTTTGGTTCATATACATAATTTTTGCTCACCTTCCAGTAAATGCAAGTTAAGGACTGTCTGTTTTTAATTGCTTGGACACCTAGGTACCAAGCTTGGTGTCTCAACATCAGGGTGCTTGACCAAACACTGCTGAGTAAAGATGTGAAGGCCTCGTTAGGACTTGTCTTCTGGTACTAACATTTTTTAGTCATATGAATTTGGGCACATTAGCGAAATTTTATAGCTGTAAATTTGTCCTTCATCAATGAAGCTCATAATATGCACCACTCTCGAGGGGTTACCATGAAGATTAAGTGATGTAACTGATGGAAAAAGACTTATCACAGTCCTGGTCATGTAGCAGAAAGGAAATGTCAGGACACTTGTGTTAATCTTCAACCATCACCTACCTCAGTATCCAGAAGCACAATGGTTTCTTGTATTCAAAATCCAGTGTGACTTTTAGTTGAGTCTAAACTAGGGCTCTTCCATTTTACAGATGAAGAAATGGAGGAAAAAAGGGATTTAGTTTCACAGCCAGAGTCAGTGGTTGTATACAATTCATTTTGTATATTGCAATGAACACGTTACCTTCTCAAGTCCAAAATTTAGTTATAAGCACAGACTGTAAGAAGCTCCTTCTGTTTGTGTTTTTCAGTCTTTGATGCTTCTCTACTGCCATCAGAGCTTCCTTTCCTGTTTTTACCCAAGACTGAGTGAGTGAATGAATGAAGTAGTATGAATCATCCTTCCAAAAGACTGAACTTGGATCTGTTGCCAAGAAGACCAGATTCTATGACGTGTTTTTAACCTCGTGATCACAGAAGCCCTTCTCCAAGGAGTGGGGAGAGACAAAGATGGTGTCTTCATGGAAGGATGTCCAGAGTGCATCCTGGCCTTGAGGACATGAGACACACGACTTCCACAGCAGTATTGATCCCATCCTATCATTTTCCACAGTCTGAGGGACTCATGCCTCATGTGGCTTGAGGCTATATAAACAGTAGCATGATCTAGGAATCACTTCTTCCCATGCAGATTTTGGATTTTTTTCCTGTAGTCCTGGGGATTGAAACCAAGGTCTCACACTGAACTTTTTAATGTTTATTTTGAGATACTGTCTTGTTAAGTGGCCCAGGTTGGCTTTGAACTTGTGATCATCCTACCTTGGCCTTTCAGTAGCTGAGATTACAGGCATGAGTTACCTTGCCTGGTTTAGCTATTATGTTTGTTTGATCTTTCTCTGCCTTTTGAACTTGTCAATTAGGGTTAGGGTTATTGGTACCTTGGTCTTGGTCTTCAGCCCTGATGATGATAATGAGAATAAAATGATTTATATTTATCATATATCTATTATGTACAAGACATATTGTACCTTATTTGTGATTTTTATTACACTCAGTTTTTGAACAAGAAAATCGAAGGTCATAGATAGGAAATGATTTTCTCAAAAGTACACAGTTTATAAGTGACTGATTTAAAATTTATTCCCAGCACTATGGTAGCTACTGTTATGTCGGATTGTCTTATGGTGAAGCACTATGTTTTAAATTGTTCTGTTCTGACCTGTTTTGTTATGTCCTCTTTTATCTTAATCTTATTTTTAAAAAATACAATTTTAAAAAAAGGAAAAAACAAATTTATTCCCAGGCCTCTCTGACACTTAAGTTTTGTACTTTTCACCACAACACATTGTTTCTCTGAGGAGTTTATCTCAGGCACATCCCCTATCTTTTCTGTTCTTGGCTTCCTTGAAAGACAATGTTACTCTAAGAATCTAAATCCTTGATTCTGTCCTCCTTTAGGTCACCGCAGGCCATAGTGATTGCAGTCAGCGCCTCAAGGCTTAGGTAATTTTGCCTCACTATTGAGTCCACGGTCTTTCATGCCTGGTACGTATGGGAAAATCAGAGAAAAGGGAAGGACGTAGGAAGAAAGGGGTGGTTAGAATGGTAATGCACAGGACTGGCAGGGAGGATAAGGACGCAAGAGACATGAGAAGAGACCTATGTAGAGACAAAATGGTACTCATTTGCTAATCAAAATCTCTTTAATGGCTTAATAGCCCATTAAACTGTGGGGCCTATTTATAATGGGACCTCATCCAAAGGTACATTTATTTAATCAGTGTCCTCCCTCCAACCCTACAGGGCCCTGGGGTATTCTTAGCTCAGAGAATCATGGTCTTCTTTCATAATTGTCTTGTTCCTGAAGGTCTGAAGGTTATTGAAGGAAATAACTCACTGGAGGAGAGACAGAGACCAAGAAGTCTGTGGTTGGTTTAATGCCTCTACTGAATGGACCTACAAGACACCAGAGACCTTCATTGGTGGCACTCTAAGCAATAAATTATTTGACAATTTATAAGATGATGCTAGATTTCAGGATCTATGTAGCTCTGGATCTTCTTTGATACACACAGTCCAACCATAGTCTCAAAATTGCTGTTGATTTTTATTATGCCACATTCTGTTACCACCACGTTTCTTTCAATCCATGAGCCACTGCCACACTGACAGAAATATATTGACTGCTTTTGTCTTGGACAGTACCATTAGACACAGAAATAAGATGAAGAAGAGCTATCTCTTAACCTGGTTACACTGGGGGGTCATGAAACAGGACCCCTAGAACTTGACCCCCTGCTTCCCAAGAGCATCCTGACAAGCCAGACACTCGCAGCTCTGCCTTGTGATCCACTGAAGTTGGTCCTACTCTGATTATCTGCTGTCCTGCACACCCTTGACTTGCCCTCTTTGAAGTCACCATGCTCATTTTTAGAACTTCTCAGCAAATTACAGAATTTATGTCAGGAAATGGGAATTTCTCTTGATCTGAATGAGGCCCAAGAGAATGTTACTTCTCTCCTGGCCATGAAGAAACCCGTGTTGTGTCTGTTCTGAATTAACACGTGGAGAAAGTGATTCTATTGATGATAGAGCTTTAGAGCTCCAGCGTAATTGCTGCTTTCCAGACTTTTAGTATCATGAGGCTCATAACAACAGCAGAGTCCAGAGGAACTGCTCAGCTGTAGTCTGCTCATTGCTTGTTAAATTTATTTCTTTTTCGTAATAAGAACAAGGCAGTACAAGCAGTGCAAGTATTGGTGCTTCTCATGATGTAGCTTTTAACTTTTATTTAATAATGACTTTAAAAATTCCATAAAGCTGGTACTTCCGAAATTCGCATCTTGTCATTTCTATTATGTACATAGGCTATATGCTTTTGATTAAGTCTTCAGCTTCTTTTCTTTCCCCTGTATGCTTGATTTTCATTCCCTTATGGGCCTAGATTGCTTGTCATGCTCTGACATGATATGCTTCCCACTTCTATGATTCTGGACAGTTTTCTCAGTTCTCTCACTAAAGTTTGTTTCCCAAACAGACTCGTGGCAGTTCTCCAAAGTACAGTTAAACCCAAAGTGGGCAGTGGGACAATAAAAGCAAGTTTGAATATCAAAGTAATAGCAATAGGAAGAATAATTCTCACTTATTGCCTTAGTTATCTCTTCATTTGTACCTGTGCATACATAAACAAGAATTAGATAAGTATTTGTTGACTTAACTTATTTTTTTTTATTTTTAAGAGAATAAAGCCAAACAAAATAAAGCAGAATAAATTCAACCAAAACAAACAGTGAAAGCAATATAGGACTTCAGAACAAGATAAGAGGAAACCAACAATGGCTGACATAATGTCTCTTGTTATCTTCAAAATAGCTGTCCATACCTTGAACATGACTTAATTTTTTTCAATGCAGGAATCATTTTCTTTGAGAAGCTCCCTTTGTCTTTAAACCACCTAGTATACACTCACATGGACCCAGAATGTTTAACATTGAGAGATGGAGTTGCTACCATACAGGGCTTCTGTAAAAAAGCAAAGGGCCGTTATTTTTAGTTTGAAGAGATCCAGGGCAGATGCCTGGAGAAAAGCTAACAGGACTGAAGGTAAAGTGTGTTTAAACCCCCAGCTCAAACTCTCTGGATCTATGGACACTCATTTCTCCAACGTGCGCTATACACGACCAGCGCACGAGCTGCTACTAGAGTCCCACTTGCCTGCTGGCAATTGGATGAGCAATCGTGTCTTGTGTTTAAACTGAGAGATGCACACATTGCCAGAGGCCATGGTGGGGACTGGCCTCCATATCTGCAGAAGTACAAAACTAAATCACACAAATAGAAACAATCGTGCCTGCAACCTCGAGGCCAATCTCTGCACAGTGTTATCACCAACTCATCACTTGGACTCAAACGAGCTTTGAAAATAGTGTATTTGGAGACGTTTTTCTCAGGAGGCAACAAGAAAAGGAAAGATGACAGAGTAAGGTTCAATCAATATTTTAAAGCCATTTTGCTATAAGCTTCGCCTGCTACTCCAACTCCTTAGTAAGCTGAATTCCTCCAAATACTGGTATCCTCGCTCCCATTTCTTAAACTTGAAGTTACATTTTCAGACTGAAAACAAAGATACCTTGCCAGAAAGAGGAAAATAAGCTCAAGAAGGGATGCAGGCCTCAGGGCGTTTGGGTGACTACTTATTACTCGAGACCAGCATTTCTAGAGCCGTGTTTTCCACTCTGCATGACTCAGGCCATCCAACAAGCACATTCCATGTTCATAACACACTAACTCGATAGTAAGAAATTTAGCTTGGAAGAGGAAAGCTATCAGGGAAAAAGCCCTGTTTATGGTTACCATTCTCTCTTCTCACTGAAGAAATTCTTCCGGCTACTGAAAATGACTCTATTATACATTAAAAAAGAAATCTCTTCCAATGACATTAAATTGTACTTCCAAATAGAAAAAAAAGTAATGAAAAGCAACACCATATTTTTTTCTCTCCTGGCTGCTGAAAAGCCAGGCTGTAGTCAGAATTCCACAACTGATTCACCTTATCAGTAGCTGGTTTACTGAATGCCATTCAGCCAATACATTTTTTTCGAAGTTTAGATTTGTACCAGCAAAGCAAATGATAAATATATTCCTTCTCCTTCAATTATGCCTGATGAAACTGCATTATATTTCTTTAAATGTTTTTTAAAACTTGCTTTCTTAAAAGAAGCAAAGGCTACGTCGGCATCTTTATTTGTATTTGTGTGCTTTTGATTGCTTTAAAATGTATTCTTGGGATAAAAATAGATTTTGTGCTTCAGATATTCAGTGCTTGGTGCAGGTAAGCAGGTGTTGGCTCTGTCACACTCAGGGTGAGTGTGAAGATGGGGACCAATCCTAGGGAACCAGCTGGGAGTTGGGGTGCCACCAATGCTGATCCAGTGGGGAAGGATGGGAAGAAGGAGGAGCAGAGAAAGGATTACTGAGACCAGAAGTCAGGAGAGGCCAGCCATACAGAAGAATTAGTGCCTGGGATCTTTTCTCTGGGTTGCAGAAGTAGATATGAATTGGAGAAGGCAGTAAAAGATCTTACTCTGTTGGTGAATTAACTGTATGGTAGAAACTGTCAACTCTGTATTGACATCTCTTTCCCTGTTTTTGTAAGTGAAAATACAAGCTAACTACTTTCCCTAGACTTCCTCACAACTAAGTAGCACATGATTGCTTCTATTAGGCTATCAACAGAAATGGTATGTTCAGAAAGTGCCCTGAAGGAGGCAGGTCATGTTCTTGGTCAGTTTTCTATTTGGAATGCAGGCATGATGGCTGGAATGAAGCATCCATCTTAGACCACACATTGAAAAATCTGCAAGTGGACAACAGAAACTGAAATAGAAGGGTCCATCTCTGGGTTGCCTAAATTTTTAAGAAGGGAGATACACTTCCTTTTTTTTCTTGCTTGAATTTTGTTTGCTTATGCTCTAAAATAAATTACTTATTTTAGAGTGGTTTTAGAATCACAGGAAAATTGAGAGGAAGGTACAGAAGTACCTATATATCCCTGTCCCATACATATCTAGCCTCTTAGGTGATCGACATCCATCACTAGCATGAAACATACGTTACAACTGATTAACCTACATCGATTCATAATCACAATCTCCAATCCATCATTTCATTAGGATTCGCCCTGGGTGTGTACAGCCTGTGGATTTAGACACATGCATAATGACCTAGAATGACTATCTCCACATCCCTAAAGCCCTCTGTACTATGCTGAGCCACCCTTTCATCACTTGTAACTCTGCTCTTCCTATTGTTGGCACCATTTCACCATTTCCCAAATGTTATAGAACTGGAGTTACGCAGCATGCAGAGTTTTCGTACTGGATATTTTACTTTGGCATGTGTATGAACGTATCTTTCATGTTTTCTTATGATTTGAGGCTCATATCCCATAGTCTGACTATACCATACTTTGTTTATTCACTTACCTGCCAAAGGTCATCTCGGATGATTCTATATTTTGGCAATTAAATAGAGCTGCTCTCAGGATCATGTGGGTAAATTCTGGGGAACAAGAATGCTGGGTCACATAGCCGCAGTGTAACTAGCTCTGTAAGAAATCGCCAAACTGTCTTCTAAGTGGCTGTGGCATCTCCCACCAGTAATGACTAAGAGTTCTTCTTGCTTTATGTCGGTGCCAGTGTTTGGTGCTGTCACTGCTTGGGCTTTGGCCGTTCTTTGGCAAATGTTTCCCCTAACTTTTCATATGTCCATTCTCTTGACGATACCTTTTACAGAGCAGAAAAATTTAATTTTAAGGAAGTCCTATTTATCAATTTTTCCTTAATGGATCATGTCTGTTTGTCTCTAATTTGTGGGAAATCAGCTTTCACTTTACCCTCATTTCTCTTAAAGATATAAAAAGAATCACTGATTTTCTAGTTCATTCAGCTTCTTTGTTGTTAGTTTGGGATGGGCAAATTCCATGCTCTTTATATCTTCAGACAGGATTAAATACACTTATATTTTATTATTTTCATGCCTCTGATTTTGACTTTTAAGGAGTTGTTGGTCAATATTAAATAGTATAGATGTAAAGGCACAAATGGAGGATTGCAAGATTTGGCCCTGAGCTGGGCCCATTCAGGTGACCCATGAATGCCATATTTGAATCCACATATTTCTCCTTATTTTTGTTCTTTCTTTCCTCAAACTGTGAGAGGGCAGAAACTCCATGGGAAATATTGGCTTGAGAGAAGAGAAGGTTGAACCAGGCTTTCCTGGAGTGTGAAGGCTCCTAAGTTCCCCCAGACAGCCCAATTTGTAGAGCGATAGCCTCTCGTACAGAAGGAAAGAACTTCAGATTTGATAGAAGGAAGACTATTTCTTGGCACACAACTCAGGCTTGAGCAGGGGTTGAAATCGTAATAGGAGTTGAAATCTTCTCTCTCACCCAGCTAGGGTGGGGCAGTTTGGCTTCTAACAGATCCTCCTCTCAAATCCAAAGCAGTGATGGCTCCCCCATGTCTGTTTCCTGGTGGGAGATTTGTAGAGCCACACCTTTCCTGGGCTGCGTTTCCAGTGACATCACATAGTTTCCCCAGGTCTCCACTTTCTGTCAGACTCATTTCCCAGGTCCCCATTGCACTGCCAAGGCCTCAAAAGTGAGGAGAAGTAGAACACTGAGGGTCCGAAGTTTGTGAATTACAGCCCACAGCTCACAGCCAGCCCACTGTCTGTTCCTGTGCAGCTTGTAGCTAGCAATGACTTTTACATTTCTAAGTGTTTAGAAGGAAAAGCAAAAGAGGAAAAATATTTTGTGACCCCAGAATGCCGTGTTAGCACACAGTCATGCTTATTTGCTTCTTTATTGTCAATGGTCAAAGATGAGAAGTTGAGGAGATCAGCCAGAGACTATATAGCCTGCAAAGACTAAATATTTACCATCTAGTACCTTATTAAAAATGTTTTCTTTGGTTTTGTTGTGCCCGAAGGTATGGACAGTTATTTTAATGATATCAAGAGACAATATGGTAGCCATTGTAGAGATCCTTTTATGTTGTTTTGAAGTCCTGTGCCACTTTTATTACAGATTAACTCTAATCTGTTTAATTTTATTTGGTTTTATTTTCTTCAAAATAAAAACTTTTTTTTTTTTTTTTTTTTTTTTTTTTGCTAACTCCTAGAGTGCACAGGTAAAAGCAAGCAATTTAGAATCCTGGTCCTGTCATGAGTTACCTCTATTACCTTCAGCTTTCTCGTTATATTGTTAGCGTTTTCTTGAAGAAAATGAGATAAAGATTAGTCGGTTTCCTTGCTGGAGGTATGTGCCTAAATAACATACCATCTGTCATCTCAGCTCCTCCTTCACAAAGGCCTAAGTTTTCCATTAAGATAACCTTGCTGCACAGAGAAAAAATGTATTTTAAATATTAATCCAAGCAATTGCAATGGGTCATAAGATTGAAAAGGTGGCCCTTGGGTGTGACAAATATATTTGTACCTCCAAGAAAACTTGAATTTCAATAGGAGCTGGTAATTCAATTGATCTTCATTTGATACAATCTGTTGATTATTTATACAGTAAAGTTATGGCTCCTTGGTTATTTCTTACCTTACACCGAAAGCTATGACTCCATTGTTCTCGGTAATATCTGTGGAATCCGTCAACTTTTCTTCTCCTTCTGTTTCCCTTCCTTTTCCTCCTCCTTTCTTCCTCTTTCCCTCCTCCATCTCCTTTTTCTCCGTGTCTTTCTCCTTTTAATGTTCATAGAGCAATATATTTATTCACAATGGCATATTTTATTCATTCTGTATGTGTTTTTAGGTTCCTACTACATGGATGGGAGACCAAGTATATTTCTTGGGGTGAATTCTCTTTCTTCCCTTGTGATCTTGTCTTTGTAGAGTTTACTAAGAAATCAGAGGTAAAATTTTTAATGTATTCTCAACCACACCCTTGGGGACACTCAGAGGACTATCAGCTAATTCTGCGTAGTTAGCAGGGAAGCTGAGTGAAATATTCTCCATCACTGAACTGAAAGGAAATATAAGAGGTACTGATGGATACTACCTTTGTATTCTGCTATTATTTCTATGAGATTACTTTATGACTGTCATAGTATATCACCTCTTATTAACTTGTTTTATTTCTAGGGACTCATTTTCAAAATAGGTTGCAAAAGTGATCTATTGTGCTTAGATAAGGAAAACGTGTTTAAAGATGTTTACTATTTTAATGGCTTTAGTAAACTGCAGGAACTACATGTGCCTTATAAGAAATTTATATATTTTAAAATCAATGATACTATTCTGGGCAGATATCATATGGTAGTAATGTATTCTTCCAAGATGTTAAAGTTAGTTTTCCTTCCCACTGAATAAAGAGTGTTTCTATTGTGCTGTCTGGTGTCTCCATTACACAGAAACGGAACAGTCACATTGACTCAGAGTTTGAAACACTTCCGTATGGCACTTTTTATGCTGCTCTGTGATTGTTTGTTTACATGTCTGTCCCTCCCTTTATACCTGGCCATTCTCCAAACATGTACAGCACTGTAACATATCCATCTTTCATCCTCTTGCTTCTGAAGCACTGTCAGGAAGTGTTGGATAAACAAATGAATAAGCAGAGGGCTTGATGGAAAACCAATGCTGGGCAGAGTTTGCCCACGGCTTTTGTGTATCAAATGACATCAGCTGTATCAGATCAAATTCAGTTACTGAGCACATAGGTCTTACCTAATTTAACCTTCATTACAGCCCAGTGAGGAAGCACTCTTACTCCTGATTGACAAATGAGGATACTGATGTTTGTAGAGGATAAGGCGCTTTCTTGTGTTTGCAAATGTAGCTCCACTGAGCCATCCTAAGTAGTTAAAGTAATCTAAAAATTGAGACCTAAGTACTTGAGTTAGCATATCAAAA